TTTCATGGTCATATGTTTCTATTGCTAATAAGTTATTGCTTCAATGCCTTATAGACTATTAATTATATACCCGCTGGAGGTGTGGAGCATGTCATGAGGGTGGCTGGGGAGAGATTTCGCGCCTTCAGGACATGTTTATGACAAGCGTATTTGTCTCCGTACGGGGATCATTACGGTGCCAGCCTAATTGACAATTATAAATACATTCTATGAGAGCATTGGGAGGACTATAAGACCGGGAGTAGAATTTAAGAAGCTAAGGTAAAAAATATTATTCTTTGAAATAAAGTAATCAACAAGTTATTTTACACGAGAGATTTTAACAATTTTTTTAGGCTCTTAGTGCGATGAACATGGAGCAACAAAAAAGAACACATATCCACACTATATGGGCCGGGGTGGATATTTTATGCTTGAGCGCAAGGTGGGACTTTCTGAGACCACCAGTTCTGTAGATGTCACTAGTACTTCATCAGTGACTACTCAACCCAAACGGGAGGACTATTGGTTGAGGGATCACACCCCGGGGAAGAAGTAGGAGGTTACTGACCCTGGACGTATGGAAATCCGCGATAGGAAGCACATACTCTACACTCATTTGTTTATTATTTGCTAATAATTCCTTAACCTTTTTCATTTTTTAACTCTCAAAAGTCCAGTTGAAGTCCAAGGTGGCGACCGATACGTTTATGCTAGAGGGGCAAAACGATGTACTCACTAGGGCTTTGGGGACTGCTAAGCACTCGGGGTAGGCGAGGGGTGTTGGGTCATATCTCGGGTTACAGAAGGCTTTCAACAGCAACAAGAAGACCTGCAAGCCCGAAAGAAAGTACATGATTGAGCAGGATCTTGATCAGTTTAGAGACTGTTGTTGCAGACTTCACACAGCGCCTCCCTACCCTTTTGCAGGAGTGTGGAGTTCCGATACCCGAGAGTGCTACAGAATTGGGGTCCATGTTGCAGCGTCACCCCCTCTAGCACCTCATCATGGCCAGCGTAGCAGCAAGACATCCAAAGATATTGTTAACTTCGGCGACCTCACTGAAGTACTATAATTAATTACTTTTTTTTTGCACATAAAACACAACTTCATTACCAAACACCAAGTTTCAATACATCAACACCACACAGCCCTACATTTTACTCCTTCTATACAAAACAAAACTACTAATATAATAAAGTGCATATTGTATGGCCTCCTCTATGGTGCATATATCCTTATGCATTCTCCTATTCCTCATTCTCCATATGCTGTAAATACAGCAAGCCCATATAGCTAAGACTTTCATTTTGTTCTTTCTCCCTTCATTCTGAATAATCCTATCCAAATCTTGGATCTTCATCACTCTCTCTTGTATGTTGTGGTTACTAAGGCATGTATTAGTGATCCTCTGCGCCACTTAACATTCCCAGAAGAGATGGAAGTCAGTCTCTTCAGCTTGCCCACATAGTTCACAGTCAGTACATATGTTAACGTATTTCCCTATTCTTGCTTTAGTTTGTAACCTCCTCCTCATCAGTAGCCATGTAATGAATTGAATTTTTTGGGGAGTAAGTTTGTTCCAGACATAATCCTTCCATCGGGGGATATTACCCTCACCCTGCAGCCATTCATACCCCTCCCTTATGCTATACTGTTTCTGTCTTGGCATACTTCTAAATACCTCTCTGACCTTGATCATTTCTTTCCAGTAGTAGCATGAATCTTGGCTAGGGGTATACTCCCAAAATTTGTCAAGATAAAAATTTAGGTTTTCATTTACTTGTTTCTAAAATTTGTTTACTAATGTTTTCTAGGTTGTTGCTTGTTACTTGAGGATTTCTGATCTAGCGCATTTTGTGGTAGCACATGGATTGGTTTTCCCCCGTGCAAAAAAAAATGTGGTTCACGGTGTTCCCCTCCTTTCCCAATAGATCAAGGTCTCTGTGACCTTGGTGCTTCTTGGTAGTTAGTATAGAATTCCTTGTCCAGAAGAGCACATGGGGACAGTAGCTGATTACGAGGGGAGCTTCGTCGTCGCATGGCCGAAGTCATTGGTGGGCCGTGGAACAATAATAAGTTAATGTATTTCATCTTTTTTTCATTTGACATTATTTTAGTGTTATTTCACATATCTTTGTTTTTGGATATGTAGCCTCTATTTCAGACGCCCTGCCAGGGCGATTTCATTTCGAGCAAACATTCTCGTATCCTCGGCGTTGGAGTTTAAGCCACTTCTCCCAGCTCTCACGTTCTCCCGTACGGGACGTTGTTGACCAGAGTTTGTACACCCGTTTTGGGGCGAGATGTAGAGAGTTGTGTCAGTGGTTGAGACACACATTTGCCCCTCTATCATTAGCGTTATTCTCGATGCTGAGTGCCTCCTCCATGCGGAGAAGATGGAGCTGAGGATGCGACCTGAGAATATACGGGAGTTCATGCGATGGGAGGAGGTCGATTAGACCATCTTCATTGTTTACTTGAGGTATGACAATAACTACATACGAACATAATGTAATTGTGTTTTAATTATACGGGAGTTCATGAAATGTGTGTTCTACTTAACTATTAAAAATGCAATTACTCTTTAATTGTCAAATATGAAAATTGTTGCATGGATACATGATGGAGCATGGTATCATGACTGTCGGGATACATTATAAAGATCGTACCTATCTGCATAGAGCTTCGATGGATATCAATCGCGACCCTAGATACTTATGCCGCTGTATCTTCCGAGATTGTTACTTTTCTAAATCATTTTAGAGTAAATTCCATAAAAGGTCCCCAGTTATAGGTCGTTTTACATATTTAGTCCCTACATATCAAATTTTACTAATTTAGTCCCCAATGATTATATTCATTTCCACGAATGGTCCTTTGTTAACATTTCCGTTAAGAACGTGGATAAAATTGTAAATTCACACTCCTCTCTCTACTCAATTAAGCTTCTTTCCTCCTCTCTTACTCTTTCCCAAACTCGTCGCTGAGTCTGAAGCTCTAAACCCAAAACTGAAATGATCCTTTCTCTCTCAATTATTAGTCTTCCTGGTGGAACCTAAAATCAAAACCAATAAGCTTTATTGATGAGTTTTATAAGTTAGTCTCAAGAAATTCCAAAGAAAATAAACATTAAAACTCATCAATGAAAGTTACTTGTTTCGAATTTGGGTTCCACCAGTTAGACAAACAATTGAGAGAAGAATGATGATTTCGGTTTTGGGTTCAAAGCTTCAAACTCAGCGACGGGTTTGGAAAATGTGTACGAGGGGAGCGAGGAAGCTTAATTGAGGAGAGAAAGAGGAGTGTGAATTTACACTTTTATCCACGTTCTTAACAGAAATGTTGTCAAAGGACTATTCGTGTAAATGAATATAATAATTGGGGACTAAATTAGTAATATTTGATATGTAGGGACTAAATATGTAAAATGACCTACAACTGGGGACCTTTTATAGAATTTACTCATCATTTTAAATAAGTATTCAAGTTTTTTATATTTATTATTGACTATGAAACTAACTACTAGCACTGCTTTTGAATTGTAGGCATCACTAGGTGTTGGTTGTAATAAGCTTGTTTGAAAACAGAGTGTATTTCTTTAATTCAATCTTCACAACCGGAGGGCATAAGAAAATAAAAGTGAAGACTTTCGTAAACGAGTAAGTATTAATATGAGTTATATGAGCTTTATTAATCATATTGAAGGAAGTCTTTATTTGTCATGAACTCTTTTCATAATGATTCTTTTTTTTATTTTTAAGGTCATGGCGGTTGCTTCGGGGTAAGGAAATGCCTCTGCTTAAAGCTAGAGCAGATTCGGTTGATCTTCCAGAAGTACCACAACAAGCGGGGGGATGGAGGGCAGAGTGTGGATGTTATACTATGCGATTTATATGGCTCATCATATTCTTGTACTCAGTGTTCGATACCATTACTCGATGTAAGTTAGTTTTAGTGTATCTTTGTAACTAGAAAGTCTGTCTTCTTCTTTATGATTATTTTGGACTTATTGTTGTATGTTTTCGTTCTTGTTGTAGGTGTTTCAATCTACTGCACCATACATGAAAGCCAAATTGGAAGAGATTCCTTAGTTTTGGGCCGGTAGTTTTCTTGAAGAATTAATTTAAGTTTTAGTTTCACAAGTTTGTATTGAATTATGTGATTTCGTTAAAATGAATATATAGTTTAGTTATTATATTGTGGTGAAATAATATGAGTAGTTTGTTAAAAATTTTATTCTTTGTTTCTGGTGTTTGTATGTTGTGTTGCAGTTTCTGCTCTATTTGCAGAAACTATTCTGCTTCTGTTTTGGTCTGTTCTGTTCTGGTTTTTGCTCTTTAAAAAAAACTTTTAAATCAGTTTTTTGGAAACAACTGATTCAAAAAGTGTCTCTCGAAACTTGCGCCAGTTCTGGGAGGCACTTTTTGAATCAGTTATTAGCAAATAAGCGATTAAAAATTCCCTACATAAGCGCGAATTAAGTATTCCTGGAAGAATCGATGACCTTTTGCATCGGTTGAACAATCGATCCTAAAAGTATTTGCACCAATTGCATCGCTACCTTTTGCACCAACCTATTCAAAAGGTCAAACTCAAGAAACTGGAATCTATCTTTTGGAGATCAACCGATTCAAAAAATAATTTCTGTAGTAGTGTAAAATAATAATTTGTTGTCTTTGATTTTCATAGAGTTTAGGAAAAGTGAAAAAGATTTTATTAGAAAATAATGAGAAGAAAGACATATTTAGCAACATATTTTTATCTTCCAATGAAAAGTGAAGATTATTTTGAGATGGACAAAAAAAGAAAAAAATACTAACTTTACTTGAAGAAAGAAGAAATGCAAAGTTAACTTGTCTCTTGAGGTGAAGGCTTAGAGATTTACACTTCATGGAGTAGTGATGTTTGAAGAATGTAATGAAAGAAAAAAACACTGCTATAAAGTGTATTACAAATCAAAAGTTGTTTTGCCTTTAGAATTTTTTGCTTCTCCATGGGCAGAATTTTGAACAATGGAAACAATATTCCACTTTTGTTGCGCCAGAATGGAAAGTGCACCGGAAGAATCTGGAATTCGGATAACCGAAAGTAGGAAACGTCACATTCAACGCACAATCATTCAGTCCTCGCTGTCGCCGTCCAATGGGCTCCGCCAGAACCCGCCTTCCCGGAATTGGTCCCACACATCCGAATCGAAGCCGTCGTCGGCGTCCCAGCAGCGGCTGCCGTCCTTCTTCTCCTCCCTCTCCTCGTCAAATTCGCACCGCCGTAGTTCTTCATCAGTCGTCGCCGGTCCTTTTCCGGTCCGAGACAGAGAGACCTCTTTCTCTTCAGCCTCTTCCGTCGACGACGCAATCTGCTTCGCCGTTGTCTTCCTCATCATCCGCTTTTTCTTATTTTTCCTCCACGCTTTCCGGAAAAGCCCCGTCGGGAGCTTGTAAACCGCCAGCACGACGAAATGCATAACGACGCAAGGGCTGCAGCAACAGCAGACCATCGCGCACGCCGCCGTGCTCCCCGCGCACTCCCTCATCGATTTCTCCGTCAACAATTGATGCTGCCGGTTTGAGACAGGCGGCTCCACCACAGACTGTCCACTCATCGCGTAGACTCCGGCGAGATTCGCATTACCAAAACCTCTTAGATTCAAATAAGAAATTCTAATCAACTTAGCAGAACAAATCAATGATCGAAAAGCTGATGAATGGATATCATTTCAGAGGGATCTGGCGAACGGGTTTGGCGATTCCGAAATTCAGATAGAATTGAATTGGGGGAGATGTAATATAGGCGAGATAGAATATGTTGTTTTTATTTTATTTTCATTTTGTCTGTAATTTTAATTCGCCGCTCCCCCAAAGTTATTGTCCTAATTGACTTTTATGGTTATTGTCAATTAAATTATTTTTATTGACATATTTTACAAAAAAAATTGGTGTATCAAAACTAAATTTTAAAATAAATCTAATTGTATGAAATTTGTGTTAAAACCAAATATTTTTTTTCTTAATTTATAATCAAAGTAATCAAAAAAGTCCAATTATGACAATAGCTTTGGAATGGAAGGAATATTTTTGTTGGACATTATACAATGTAGTTTCTTCAAAAGACTGGTCATAGATATTTTGGTCCTAAAATAAAATTTAGTTTTAGGTATACAATATTTGATTGAAAAAATTATAAATTTAATTTATTTTGTGAGTCTATTACGTATTTTTGAAGCATAACTTAATAGATTCTTAATTAACCTGAAACACTCAAACACACATTAGTCCATATATTGTTGGTTAGCATCAATATATGAGTTTTAGCAAACTAATGCTAAGAACTATCAATCCCTTTTTCAGCCTGAAAATCAAATTATTCTTTAGATATAGGAGGAGGCAGAAGCATAGAGGGCTTGGAAGCAAGAATCTTAGTGATAATCTTTCTTAAGAAATTCGATGAGCTGATAGACCTAAAGCCCCCAATGAAAATTAAACATTATCAACTTTGGGAATGAACAACAGGTGGAACTACCATAGCATTGAGAGGTAGGAACACCAAAGAAGAATTTCTTGGTAGAGGATCACATCTTTCCCACCAATACTCTAGCATTTTTTGAATAACTTTCCATTGCTTCCATCAGGGTCAGGTGCAGAATTAGGGTTGAAGCTCAAATAGCTCATTTGATCCCCTTCCTAAAGAAGTGAGGTAAGCATATCTTTGCCCGCAGTAGTAATGAAGCTGGGAATAACATTAAGGACATCCTGAGGGCTCTCAACAGGTTGTTCGTTGTAAAGATTGGTGAAGTAATCTACTATCAAGTACTTATTGTGTTTGGGATCATCTTGATAAGCTCCATTGTGATTTCTCAGTCCATTGATCTTCAAGTTAGTTGTTCTGCACTTAAAATATATGATTGAACCCAAATCCATCCATTTGATATTGGCTTTTAATTTGAAACCAGAATTTACATTTAATTTTGGTGCAGAGAAGCAGTTTAGTAGTTGCCATAATTGACATGTTGCCTGCTACCATCTCAGGAGCAAGGATTATAAGCCTCTTTTGCTTTAAAACCTAAAAATTTAGCCAATTTCACATTATTAAAAATATCACCAAATAAAGACTTCCTTCATTCTCTTATGAATAACCTTAAGCCTTTCAGTTTAGCAATTGGTTCCCTCTTCCCAATGACGTTAGGATCAGATTCCAAGAATTTATTGATAGTTTCTTGAAAGATTTTATGAGAAGTCGATCAATGCATTAATGAACTTAAAACGCTTAGGTCCAAGATAGTTATCCACCTTGCTTTCAAGTAACAAAAGTTTGTGGTCAGAGCTACTCTTATTAAGATGAGTAAGAGAGACATTGAAGAAGTTCATTCGGTCCCCATTAACAAGGATGTGGTCCAACCTTCTCCGTACCTTTCCATCACTCTTATAGCCTGACAAAGTGAAGGTACCTCCTCTAGAAGGCCCAGGGCTGAATAAGCCACAAATTGTGATGCAATTTGATAGATTTAAGATATCCTTAAGAAATGGGGCATTGTGACCCTTTTGTTCATCTAAGGAGATAATAATGTTAAAATCACCCCCTAAAATCAACTCCCTATTCATTGTAGTGTGCTTTTCGTACATAAAAGAAATGACAAGGATGGAGTATATGTCCTTGACAGAACTCAAGGGAATGAGTCTAGGAGTCCTCATTTTTGGAGAGACAATTGAAGTTGTCACTGTTTCAAAAGAACCAACATTTGTTGCTCTGGCCAAAGCAGTTGAATCTCAGCTTGATTTTGAAGTTGCCCATCTTAGATGAATCAACAATATGCTTAAAAATAGAAACAAAATGAGTTTTACAGCCTTTAACAAGTATTACTAGTCTGTTGAGGGAGGACCGAATTGCACAAGAACCACAAAAGAGAAAGATCATTGAGAGTTAGAAGAGAAAGTCTCTTTAACACCTTTGTGACTCCTCAGGGTCATAGATAGGGTAGGCATAAGTTCCATCCTCCTCTTCCCTTTACAACTACGAAATAGTTGAAGTGTACAAAATAACTCCATGTTGAGCTTATCTGCGCACGTGACCAATCATATGATAATTATCTATAATGTTCATCATGAATAATTGTGAAGACCCAAAACCTGACTTAGTATTATTGATTAATTTAAATAATAAATTACTAACTAAGTTGGCCTGGAAAAGGATAAATTGGTAATTAGGGCTCTAATTATGACAATTATATTGTTTTCTTGAGCTTGCTCATCTGAGCCCAATGATGCAAATGGAGCTTAAATAGGAGTTATTAGGCACGAGATACAAAAAAAAAAAAGATCAGGTACTTAAGTTTTGATCAATCCTAATCAAGTTGAAATTAGCCTAAACCTAAACCTACATATTTGTATACACTCACACAAAATTTTCCCTGACGTTATGCTGATTGATGATTATGATTGATTATGGATGATTATGAATGATGAACCTACTGATTAAAATGATAATTGATGAATAAATCGTGACTAAAAATGGATATTTGGTGATCATGAATTTGATGTAAATTGTTAGAGATATTTAGAAGAACTCCAAGATATACCATTTGGAAATTCATGTTGATTATTAAAGCATATCTAGAAGAACTCTAAGATATACATCCTTGACGAATTCATAGTTCGAGGTTAACGTACGGGATCCCGACCAGATATCATATGCCCGACTGTTCATTGTTCGGTTGCCTTAGACTAGTAATAGCTAAGAGCTTGTTAAGAAATGATTTTTCCTTAGATTCAGAATAATTTAAGAGCACTTTAGAGATATGGAATATTGTACATATCATGAAATGACTTGGAATAAAATATCATGAACGCTTGAATTATATATTATGTGCATGATATCAAATGGTTGATTATGGATTGATATTCAATTTACGTGGATGTTCGACTCTTTAGATATGCTTACTCAGCTTCACCGTTGAGCGTGTAGTGTGTTTTATTTGCTACACGCAAGTAGGCAGAATGAATGATTGACATATTCCTGGCAGTGGATGTGACGAGACAGTCGTGGTGGATTTATGAATAAAATAAATAATTATGTTGTTATGTGACATGGTTTAAATTCGCTTCCTCATCATTACTAAACACTCTGTATTTTAACATTTATGTATTGAATATTATCATTTATGATAAATAAAGATGTTTGAAATGTTTTAAATTTTATAATTACCAAGTTTACACATTAGTCCGAAAGGGCTGCAGACCTGAACGGATTAGGGAGATACAATATTGGTATCGGAGCAAATGGTTTTAAACCCGATCTTCGGATCAAAGTTTGGATATATATATATATATATATATATATATATATATATATATATATATATATATATATATATATAGTGTAACATTTGTAGTAGACACCATCTAGGAGAATGTTGGATGTCACAAGGATTATGTATAGGTTGTAGAAAATCTGGGCATTTTTGAAAGGAATGTCCTACTAACCCTGGAAAACCAACGGTCCCTCTTCAAAGTCAATCTACATCAGCCCGACTTGCACCAGCAGGAAATAATCCACAAACGAACTCATGCACGTGCGTATGCTGTGAAAGATCGCGTTGAGGAACATTCTGATGTCATTATTAATATGTTTCCTTGTTCAATAAAATTATGCATGTATTGATTCGGGATTTACACTGTCTTATATCTATGTAAATTCCATATTGAATAACTTTCTGTTGAGATTGAAAACTCAAGGATTTCTTACCAAAGAATCATCTGATCAAGTTTTTCTATTTGAATACCTATTTTGTTCATATGCGAATAAAGAAGGATCGATGAGACTCTGTTTAAAGTTACCGTAATTTAAATCGTTATCCTTTACCTCGTATCGATGATTTATTTTATCAGCTTAGAGGATACATTATATTCTCTAAGATTAACTTACGGTCAGGATACCAACAAATCTCTGTTAAGAAACTTGAACAAATTGACAATCAAGAATCGCTACCCTTACTATGAATTGACTCGTTCGTATATCTTATTAACGCGAAAGATTTCGTCATGGTGACACCAACAATGTATAACTGAATTAGGAAGAAAAAGATTGATATTTACATGATACATTCTAATGATGGAAATAAATATTCTTCTAATTTGCACTGGCCATGCAGCTTAGAACAATATTTATGGCTAACTCATAATGTTCACGGACAATTTTATTTCAACACAAATACAATTTCGATTACATAAGAACGTTACAAATGTAACTCCAAGTCTAACCTTCCAGGATTTACAAACTCATCATAATTAGCCCCAAGACCCGGAAATGCTTTAGCAAACTCTAGTTTGTATAAACGCTCATCAATAAAGAAAGATGAAATGAAAAGTTTCCTCTGACTGGAAGCCATAAAGTTCTGCCCCACCGCATCTTCTAGAAATTTAATTAGGTTATTGAAATAACCATCAATATTTAATAGACCAATGGGTCTGATGTGCAACCCTTCAGATGCCCATGAGATTAACGTAAACAAACCTTCGATGGTATCAACTCCTCCGGGAAGTACGATGAAAGCCTACGCAACATGATTCATCTCGAAGTACTTACAGTAGGTGGTTGAAACAGTGTACTCTACACCATACGATGGTCCGTAGATCCCTCGTGATGCTATATGCCTTGGTATGAAACCTCTGACTATACCACCATTGTTATAGACTATTGAAGCAACATCTCCTTGAAGGTCAACGTTACCTCCT